AATATATATTTATTATAAATAATTAATTTAACTTTCAAATTAATCAAATTAACTCTTATACTACCTCTGATCTTTAATATAAGACCTAATTAAATAATTTGAGGGGGATTAAGGAAATTAGTTAACTTAGTTATTTGTTATAAATATATGTTGTCTTTTTTAGAATTTTCTTACTAATCATGTATATTAACTAGAATTATCATTTAATGAAATCTTTAATATGTGCAACTACTATAATGACTACTGTAGAAAAGATAAATAAATATGAAAGATAAAATAAATTAAAGTCTTATATTTAGAATTAAATTAAAACTCAAATGAGTTCTTATAATAAAAAATGAGCTAGTATTAAATATGTAAAATATATTTCTTTTTTTGAAAATTACACACAGGTCCTACAGAAGACAATTTATTCAAAAAAAAGTCCCTTGAAATCTTGAAATCTTTCCTAAGTCCCCAAGGACCTGTGTGTAATAAATTGCAATTGTAAAAAGTCTGTTATGCCCTCATTGATAGAAAAAGAAAAAAAAGGGGGGAATGCCTTCTCCTGGTGTGTTGGGTGCTCTGCATGCATGAGAAGGAGAATCTTCAAAAAGAAGAAACAAAGGCCTACAACAATTGCCATTGTGTTTATTATTCCAGGCAAGCTATGTTTTTTTTTTTTCATCTTCTTTGTAGTCATCATCATTAAGGACATTGTCTTCTTCGTCCACAACCATTGAAAGTGTAATGTTGGTTTGAAAAGTTGATTTGCTGTGGGTGTATGGGTATTAAGGATGTGATTGAACTCACTTGAACTATCAAGGGAGGCTCATTTTAATCATATATGGTCTTAATCATCTTAGGTGTGGTTTTGTTATGTGTGGTTAGGGTTATAAGGTGATGCTCTGTTTTTCGGTGATTGATGCTCTATTTTTTCAATAATTAATGCTGTGTTGCAGATGAAAATGAAGAAAAATGAGAGGTTTTTATTGTTATAAGTCTTGTGATGTGATTGTTAAATGTCTTGTTAATGGGTATATCAAAGGTTGTTAATATAACTGTATGACTTGTTATTAACAAGTGATTATGACAGGTTGATATGAAAGATGACAACTTCAAGTGGGAGGCATTTGTTCTGTTACCTCTATATAGGGGGACAATTTATTAATAGTGTAGAAGGTAAAATGCAATATGTTGGAAGTTGTGTGAGAACAAGAATGATAAAGGAAGGCACACCAATCACTAAAAGACCCTCAGGGAGGCCAAAGAAAAGAAGGATTAAATCTCAATTTCAAAACAAAAAACTTTACCACTGTGGAAAATGCCATAAGCTAGGCTCCACTGTGAAGACTTGCCAGAACCCCAATCTAAGTTGAGCTTTGTTAGTGGCTTGTTTATATTTCTTTTTGTGAATGCTTCTGACAGAATTGTTTTGTAAATTTCATAACCCACACCTCAAGTTATCCGTCATTATCCACACATGCAACCCATATGCTTTTTTGAATGGGTTGTAAATTTGGTGTGGTTACATTGTACATATATATCAAGTGGTAAATGACATCTAGTTGTAATTTGATATAATATCATATCTGTATTTTGATGTACTTGTCAATAGGCTGTAATAGACTTGTTATCAGACATCGTAGGGGTTGTCATTGGCAGTTTGAATTATGTTACTGATATAAAGTGATAATTTCTCCTACTTGCAGTGTTCAATGATTTCTTAACATATGATTGTTGTGTCAAAGTTGTAACATAATATGATTTGGTTATAATTTGATGTTATGAAGAGGCTATGATATCTCACAGTGTGAGTTGTTAGAGCCACTGCCAAGGTTGTTAACCACTTCTCCTCGAGTTGTCAACAGTCATTGTTGAGGTTGTAAATGAATCTCTATAATAAAAATCTGTTGTAATCCTATTGGGTTCAGTTACAGTTGTTAATGACTTCAAAATGTCTCACATTATATTATTAAGGTTGTTATATGTGCTGATAATACAATTTTTTTAAAAGCTATAGTATCCGACAGAGTGAGCTGTTAAGGGCACTGCCGAGGTTGGTAACCACTTCTCCTTTGGTAGTCAACAGACGCTGTTGAGGTTGTAAATGAATATCTGCAATAAAAATGTGTTGTAATCCTGCTAGGTTTACTTAAAGCTGTTAATGACTTCAAAATGCCTCCCATTATATTGTTAAGGTCATTATATGTGCTGATAATATAATTTTTTAAGAAGCGATGGTATCCCATATAATGAGTTGTCAGGGGCATTGCCAAGATTGTTAAACACTTCTCCTCAGGTTGTCAATAGATGCTGTTGAGGTTGTAAATGGATCTAGCGGAGAGGACTGTGATATATACCTATCATGTCATCATGGTTAGCATTTGTTTATCCAGTTTTATTAAGTCTTCATTTTTGGACATGATTTAGGTTTGAAATAAGGAATTTTATGGTTATCATAACACATGAATGCCATTACAACAACTTCATAACCAGTAAACGATGCCAATCATATTAACATAACTTAACATTCAGCTGTCATTTTATAGTCAAATAAAAAAAAAAATCTAAACTTTACTTTTTGCTGTCATTATGCTGTCAAATGAAAAACAAAATGTGAACTTTATATTCAGCTGTCATTATGCTGTCAAATGAAAAAACTAAATATAATATGTACTGGTTGTTTATTTCTTCCTCTTGCTTTGGGGGTTTCCTCATAGCAAAGACAGCACTGATCACCACGCAGGTTGTTCCTATAAGTTACAAGCCACCACAAGCATCCAACCTTCAAGTCATGTGACTTCCTTATCAATTTTGTCCTTTTTGTCAAATGGTGTTGGCTTCATTCTATGAAGAACTTGGTAGAAACAATCTCTCTGCAAAAAAGAAACCAAAAAAAGGAACAACTTTGATAGTAGTGAATGACAAGTAATCAGTAGGCATTAACAACCTTAAGAGTAGTGAATGACAAGTAATCAGCAAGTATTAACAGCCTTAACAGTAGTGAATGACAAGTAATCAGCAGGCATTAACAGTCTTGACAGTAGTGAATGATAAGTAATCAGCAGGCATTAATTGACAATTTATCAAAACCAATTCTTTTTAGCCTTTCCATCATATTATGAGTTAAGAAATCATTGAACAGTATAAGTAGGAGAAATTGTCACTCTATATCAGTAACTTCATTCAGACTGCCAATGACAACCTCCACAGCATCTGATAACAAGTCCATAACAACCTATTGACAAGTACAGCAAAATACAGATATGATATTATATCATATTACAACCAGATGTCATTTACCATTTTATATATATATGTACAATGTAACTACACTAAATTTACATTTTATCTACAAGGTCCACAAATGTATACTCATCAAAGGTTACTGTGAATTTCATAACCATTTTATTACTTTCTTTTTTCATAATTGATGCTACCATTGTTCTAAATTCTTCATATGATGTGCCTTCCTTTATCATTCATGTTCACACACCACCTCCAACATATTACATTTTACCTTCTACACTATTAATAAATTATCCCCCTATATGGAGGTAACAAAACAAATGCTTCCCACTTAAAGTTGACATCCTTCATATCAAGCTGTTACAATCACTTGTTAATAACAAGTCATACAATTACATTAACAACCTGTGATGCACCCATTAACAAGACATTTAACATCGCATTACAGGAGTTATAACAATAAAAACCTGTCATTTTCATTCATTTTTATCAGAAACACAACATCAATCATTGAAAAACAAAGTATCATTCACTGAAAAATAGAGCATCACTTTATAACCCTAACCACACATAACAAGACCACACCTAAGATGATTAAAACCATATATGATTAAAATGAGTCTCCCTTGATAGTTCAAGTGAGTTGAATCACATCCTTAATACCCACACACCCACAACCAATCAACTTTTGAAACAATATTAAACTTTCAACGGTTGTGTACAAAAGAAGAGAAATATTGTTAATGATGAGACCTACAAAGAAGATGAAGAAAAAACTAGCTTGCCTGGAATAATGGAGCATTAGCACAGACCTCTGTTCCTTCTTTCAGGAGCTTCTCTTTCTTATTCATACAGCACCAGTGCACCAAATGAAGGCTTTCCTTTTGTTTTTTTTTCTTTTTCAATCAATGAGGGCAAAATAGACTTTCACAATTGCAATATTTTGCTTTGAGGTCCCTGGGACTTAGGAAGTATTTTAGGATTTCAAGGGACTTTTTCTGAATAAATTGTCTTTTGTGGGATCTGTGTGTAATTTTTCCTTCTTTTTTTGTTTTTTGCGTGAAAGCGGGATTCCATATGCAAATGAAGAATGAAGAAGCAGATGAGAAAGGCCCCTTAGTCCTTAGAAACCCACGCGATTTCACCACTTTTCTTATTCTACTTTTCCTCCACTTACCACCACCATTATGGGGGTATTTGGTTAAGAACAAAACCATGGTTTTCAGAAGTGTTTTTATGGTATACGAAGTAAATATGTGAAGAAGTTTGTTTCAACTTGTAAAAAAATGCTTCTGAAAAGTGCTTCTAGATTTTCCCAAACACCCCTTATATCAACTTTAAACAATTGAGATTAGGAGTCGTCGACTGGGAAGTTTCATTGCGGGCGACCCATGGTTCTCTTTGCGGTTGGAAGCAACTAATGAAGCTACCTATTCCTTTTCTTCCAAATTTGAGAAATGAGTTATATTTTCTTTTATTATGAGTTACATTCATGAACTGTGTGAATACTGCGAATGGATATATTGACGTGATCTTCTATAATGCTCATCTTCCCTGCAAGTCGCAGAAACTTTTTACTCTTTCATTAGCTCTTAACCTCCTAGCAAATGGGTCACGGTGAAGAATATTTGTCTGACTAAGAGCTCTCTTTATTTGTCTGGTTTGGATATGCGTATGACGTCTTCCTAAGTTTTAGAGGGGAAGATTGCTGGTATGGTTTCGCTGGGAATCTCTGCAATGCTTTGTAGCAGAGGGGAATTAATACGTTCATGGACAATAAGGAACTTCAGAGAGGGCATGAAATTTCACCTACTCTTGTCAAAGCGATTGAGAATTCTAGGATTGCTATCATCGTGTTCTCCAAAAATTACACTTCCTCTACGTGGTACTTAGAAGAACTTGTGAAAATTCTTTCTTGGGCAAAATCCAAGGATCGTTTGGTGTACCCAGTCTTTTACAACGTGGATCTGCTAGAAGTTCAACATCAAAGAGGGCATTATGGAGCAGAATTGGCTAAGCATGAAGAGAAATTGAAGGGTGATAATGTCAAAGTACAACAATGGAAGTCTGCTCTATATGAAGCATCTAATTTAGTCGGTTGGCATTAGGGTGATGGGTACGCCCTGTGCCTCTTTTCTTTGCCCTGTTATTATTTTTTTTTTTTCATGTGACATTCTACTTGATTGTTTCCATTACTGGTAAGTGTCAGGTTCTAAGAATATGGATTCTAAAGTTTTTGTGATTGTAAATTCTAATGAAGTTGAAAAGAGAAAAAAAAGATTGAGTTGATTGAAAAGAAAAGATATAAATTCTATGTAATGTTTACATAACTCGTTGATAAGTTTATGAATACTCGATCCTTACACATATTCTATAATTAAAAGATAGTTGTTGTCTAGTAAGTCCAAAACATTTGAAGACTATGTCAATTCTCTTCTACCATGAATTATGAGTTGTGTTAACTCTGAGTTGTCCACACCAAGTAGCTTTCTCCAATGTTAGGTGAGTGAAAGAACTAAACCCAAAATATCCCTTATTTTGGGTAATTGGTGGGCATTCTGATGCATATTAACCACTCACATCAATTGATAATATTTCACATGCTTTGAAGTTGGTTCTTCTGACTCTCTTTTAACAATAGGTCAACATAACTTATGGCTAACCACATTAATTTATGTTTTAATAGATTCAGATAGATTTGCTGATTTTGAGAAGTCAGCTGAGTGCACAGATAATTTTTAGGGATCAAAATGATAATTTCAATTTTTCACTTCAATTATTAAATGGAGATTTCGAAATAGCATCAATGGTGATTAGATGTTAAACTATGGATTTGACTCTGAATAATAGTTGACCCACAATAGATTTTATTTTATGTTATTTTATTTCTGATGAACTAATATGGTGATGACCAGATTAGTTTGCATTATATGCAATGTTGTAACTTGATTTTGTAGGTATAGTTATGAATATCAGTATGTTGAAGAAATAATTGCCATGGTAACCAGGAACTTAGCTCCTAAGCATTTACATGTTGTTGATTAGCTAGTGGGTCTAAAGTCTTGTGTTTCACAAGTAATTTCATTTTTTAATTTTAATGGTGGTTGTGTCAACATGATTGGAATTTGTGGAATAGGTGGAATTGGTCAAGCAACTTTAGCTCGTGCTGTGTATAATTTTATTGTTGACCGATTTGAAGGTTCACGTTTTCCTGCTGACGTTAGAGAAAATTCAATCAAACATGGATTAGAACATCTGTAGGAGTCAATTCTTTTCAATATACTAGGCGAGAAGAATACCAAGCTTGGTGATTCCCACAAGGGAATTCCAATCCTTATAAAGAAGTTGTATTGCAAGAAGGTTCTTTTGATACTTGATGATGTGGACAAATTAGAACAATTGAAGAAATTAGCAGGAGACTGTGATTGGTTTATTTCAGGAAGTGCAATTATCATAACTACTGGGGACAGACATATTTTGACTGCTAATGGAGTTGAAAAAATATGAGGTGCCAAAATTTAGTCATAATGAAGCTCTTGAACTCTTACAAGAGCATGCATCTAAAAAAGGGAAAACATGTCAATGTTATGTGGAAGCCTGGAAACGTGCAACTCTTTATGCTGATGACCTTCCATTGGCTTTGAATGTTATTGGTTCTTATTTATTAGGTAAGTCAGCTGCTGAATGGGAGGTTGCATTGGATAGATATGAAAAGGTTCCTAATGAAGAAATCATGAATACCCTTAGAGTGAGCTTTGATAGTCTAAAACCAAGTAAGAAGCAAGTTTTCCTTGACATTTCATGTATCTTTGTTGGAGAGGAGTTGGCATATGTAGAAGTTCTATATGCTTGCGGTTTCTTTCCAAAATATAGCATTGGAGTTCTTATCGATAAATCTCTTGTTTCTATTAGTGTGAATAAAAGGGTAATGATGCATGATCTTATTAAATGCATGGGCAGAAAGATAGTACGATAGGAATCACCATTTTATCTTGGCAAATGAAGCAGGCTATGGTTACATGAGGATGTTCTTGAAGTTCTCTAACAAAATATGGTGAGTTGTGAATGACTTTTCTCTCTTTTTATTTTCTTTATCTCTTGCCTCATTTGAGTAGACCCCATGCCAATGCATGCGGCCCCATATGAACTGCACTTGTGAATAGTGAAGCTCACTTTATTGCATACATTCATATATATATATATATATATATATATATATACACTCTCGAATAGAATATGTCAGAGCTTGTTTGCTTAGCAACATAGAACATGATTTATTCTTCATCCTCTCTAGGTCGTACCTGTTCTATCTTTTGTATTCATTACTTGATGACATTTATTTTATATAAATACACACACACACACACACACACTTTTTTAAACTAAGATCATAATGGTCACTTTTCATTCTAAAGTTAGTTTTTCCTTCCCATTCCTTTCCATTTTCCATATCAAACTAGTGAATGCGGTTGCCAGCATTTGGAGTTGAAAAATTATATAATTTTATTTTATTAGCATAGTTGGTAAGAAATTTGCTCCATGGTTTATAGTGTGTTGAGTTTTTTCTCAGATTCTGAATCTAACATTGTAGTTCGTATATTTTTTTTCCCCCTTAAATTCTTTCTTGGAAGGGAATTGATAAAATTGAAGTCATAATGTTGGACTACATAGCCCAAGGAAAGGAATTGCATTGGAGTAGAAAGGCCTTCAAGAAGATGAAGAGCTTGAGAATGCTTATTATTAGAAATGCCTGTTTCTCTAGAGGACCCAGTTTTCTCCCAAATAGCTTGAGAATTATTGAGTGGGTAGGATATCCTTCAGGGTCTTTTCCCTCTACTTTGCATACAACAAATCTTGCCATCCTGAAGTTACTTGGCAATTGCCTCATTTTGGACAAGTCATTTGAGGTATGTTCAATTGCTATGTCTACGTGTTTCTTTGGCTTAAATATAAATTGCACATAGGTTTCCCAAGACTAATTTCTAATGTTTTCTTTTTTTTTCCCCCCTTTCTTTCCAGAATTTGAAGTGTTTGACCAGTATGGATTTCACTGATTCTAAAGTCTTAGCAGAATTACATGATGTGTCTGGACTTCAAAATTTAAGGACATTATATCTTGATAATTGCACTAATCTAATTAAACTTCATGAATCTATTGGATTTCTCAGTCATCTTGAAGAGTTGAGTGTTGTAGGATGCACACAAATCTAAAATCAATTCCAGCTGGTTTCAATTTGCCTTTTCTTAGATTCCTTTCTCTCTTTGACTATCAGAAACTTTTAAGGTTCCTTGAAATATTAGGACTTATGGAAAAGTTACAGGATATTAATTTGGAGCGAACTTCCATAGAAGGATTACCATTTTCTATTGGAAATCTGATTGGGCTTGAATCTCTGAATCTGATGGAGTGCTATAGCATCATTAAAGTCCCCAGTAGCATTTTCACTCTGCCAAAACTTGGGGAAATTGAAGCCGACTCTTGTAAAGGCTTAGTAGTTTTTAACCAGTCAGATCATGAGAAATTGAAATTGTCTCTAAGCAGGATCCGGCTACATTTGAGTTCTTGCAATATGCTAGATGAACATCTTGGTACATGCCTAAGTGGTTTTTAAAACGTTGTACATCTGGACCTATCTTACAGTGATCTTACATTCCTCCCAGCATGCATCCAAGAATTATCCACTTGAAGGTTCTTTGGTTATGAAACTGTGAGCAGCTGCTTCGTGACATATCTGAAATACCGCCAAATTTAGAAGAAACAGATGCATCAAATTGCGTATCTTTGACTTCCAATCCTCAAGTATATTATTGAGCTAGGTTTACCTCTTTGCATATTTATTGTGCAACGTGACTTGCATCAATTGCCTCTTGCCTTTATATACTGAATTGTTTGCTGATATAAAGCAAATATGTTATTTTATATGTGATTTATGGGCCTTTCATGCAGCTGGAGACAAAAAATCAATGCTTTCAGGATCAAGAAGTCCAGAATGGTTTGATCATTACAGCTAGGAAAGATCAATAAGTTTTTGGGGCCATGGTAGATTCCCGGGAATTGCTCTGTGCGCTGTTTTTGGCACATCAAGAGGTCTACGCCGACATATTCTATTAGGTTCTGCATAGCAATCGACAGTCGTAGACTGATATTCTCCAAAAATTGTTACAGTTGGTCAATTATCGAAGACCATGTGTGGCTGTCTGATCTAAGAGCATTTTTCCTAGATAGTGGTCTCAAAGGGCTATTTCTAGAGCACGAATGGAATCATGTGGAAATTTCTTGTGAGGATTGTGCAGTGAAGAATGGATCAACAGGGAAGGAAGCTGTGAAATTCCTTGCAATATATATGTACAGGGAAGAAAGGAGAATGGAGAATGTTCGATTCCCTAACTCTGCTCATGTACAAGACCAGGGTTATCGTCATACTTACGAAAGTGTTAGTGATGACACCTACCCCATTGTATAGTCAAGAGATTTTGGAACATCTCATGATAGCTATTGCGAAGCGAATGGTGACAACTTCAGTAGTTATTCTTCGTATAAAAAGCAGCGATTTGTATGAAGGAATGAACAAGAAGCATTTCTGTTGGGAGGATCCGGTCTTGTTGATCATATGGTTGTGTTGTTGGTGTTGTATGATTTGTTTTACTGGATGAGATTTTAATTTAGACGGTCTCGATTTTATTGTCTTCTTAGGTTAAATCATTATTTCCTTATATTAGTTGTAAGATTTATACATAATTTTTCTTTTGTCTATAACGTTAAAAATAGGGAAAATTTAAAATAGAATATCCTAAAAATTGGTATAGAAGAATTTTAAAATTCTACATTCTTAAAATTCCAAATCACACTTGTACAATTTTATAATTTTTAAATTTTGTGAAATGATGCAAATGCCTTTAACTTTTTTCCCCCCCAATATTGCCATCTCAGCACCTTTAGTCATTTTTGGCCACTAGAGCTCCTGTTTGGTGGCATCTCACCAAAACTCTAATCGTCGGAGCTCTAGTGATTACTATTTATTATGTATTACTCCTCCGGTCCTTAATATAAGACCCATTTAACTAATTTGATTAGATTAAGGAAGTTAGGTAAGGTAGTTAATTATAAAAAATGTGACACGTTTTTCCTAAAACACCATAATCATCTTTCTTAATACCCCTCTTCCTCTTCTACACTTGATTATGATTGAGGAAGTATCTATAGGGGTAATTTAGAGAAAATTGATAAATATGAGAAATGGGTCTTATATTTAGGACCAAAACCAACTCACCAATTGGGTCCTATATTAAGGACCGGAGGAGTACTATTTTTTCTTAACTATTGACAACTTTTGTTTCTAGAACTTTAATGACTACTCCTATTTAACTATTGTCTATTCTAATATCGCGATTGATTTTTTTCATTTTTAAAAATTTGGTGATTACTCCTGTTTAGTTATTGATTACTTTAATTCAATTGACTATCTTCATTTCATAAATTCAAAAAATACTTTTGTTTAGTTATTTACTACTCTTATATAGTTAATAGCTATATAAAAATAGTAACCAAAACTTTGAAAATAAAAATGATTAATAGCTATACGAAAGTAGTTATTAAGAGTGAGGGCAATATTGTCATTTCTCAATATTTTAAAATTTTAAAATAGTATAAGAGGTTTGATTTAGGATTTTGAAATTTACCTACGCTAATTTATCCTTTAGCAATTTTGAGGGTATTTTATTGTCTTTTTTTCCTTAAAAGTACCCCTTTCCTTCCATTTCGTATGATAGGTAAAAATATACTTTTAGTTCTTTAGGTTTATATAGGATTTCAGTTTGGTATCTTAACTATAAAAAATATACTTTTAGTTCTTTGATCCTAATATTATTAATTAAAAAATGTTGATATTGATATTAAATGTTGATGAAACATTCTCAAGGGTTAACATATCAAGTTTAGTTTTTAAAACAATCACTATTGTTACCCAAAAAAAAAGAGAGAGAGAAAAGAATTCATCATTTAAACTTAACAATTTTAAAGTTAAATAGCTAAAAATATAGATTTTTAAGTAAAGTGACCAAATTAAAATACTACCTCTAGTCCTAATTATAAGATCTTATTTGTAATATACAAACAAGGTTTTATAATTAGAACCAAATGTAGTATTATATAAAGTTAAAAGATCAAATATATAATACTTTTATCTATAGGTATTTGAAAGAGAGATTTCTAATTTTTTTTTTTTAAGTAAGACACTATATGAGATATTTACTACATTTGTTTTCTCATCTTACATTCATTCATTCCAAAAAAAAAAAAAACCAGCTTCGTCGCTAATCAAAATCAGCGATGTGTTAACAACGAACTAGGGATATAATTTAGTTAGCGTTGGAATTTTGTCTATCACTGATTCTACCATCACTAATTATTTAGCGATAGCGACAGATTATTAACAGATTAGTAATAGAAATTAATCCATTACTAATTAGAGATGGATTAGTGATGAAAATTCAGTCACAAAATAGTGATGGATTTTTAATGAAAATTCCATCACAAATTTTCTTTATCCTCTAAATTTAAAAAATGTAGTGTAGCAACCATTGACTACTGTCACGTCATCGCCTCCTCCAATGTCGCCACATCATCTTCTAGTTTTATTTATGAAGTAGTAATTAGAACTCTGAACATCCTTCGCGTGAGTTAAAGCATTTGCTAGTTGAGCTAAAAAACACTTGTATAATTTTTATACAAAATTAAATATATATACACACGCGCACACATATAATGCTTCTAATTAAAAACGCAAATATATTTTTTATATATAATTTAATATATTATTATATATATTTCTGTTTATGTTTCGTGTGACTAAGAATTAATTTTTTTAAATATTTAATAAAATAATAGGTATATCATATATTTTATTTTTATTTGTATTTATGATATGTATTTTTATTTATATATAATATATTTCTGAAAAATTATCATATATTATATTTTATTTTAATAATAAATATTAAAATAATTATTATATATTTATGTTATAATTTTTGGTGACGGATTAATGATGAAATAGTGATAAAAATTAGCGATAAGATAAAATCCTGTTTCTAATCTGTTTTTAATTTAGTAATGAAAATTTTTCATCACTAAATTCTGTTAGTAAAAAATTCTGTTACTAACAGAATTTGTGACGGATTAGCAGCAAAATAAAATTTTGACACTAAATTTCCTCACTAATTACCTTTTTTTTTTTTTGTAGCGATTCAATATTAAATTATGCTTTTCAAAATATACTGAGACATCCCAATGGATGGTTTAAAAAGGCAAGGTCGGAAGCTTAAATCTTTGTTTTTTTTAAAACTAATGAGTTTTAAACCTCAATAATTTTATTAACAATGCAGGAAGTGATATTAAATTTTAATTTGAAAATAATAAGTTCTAAACGTGTTATATTTTATGAAAGTGCATCAAACATAAACGCTTGATTTGAGTCACAGATTACAAAGGCAAATCTATATCTATAAAAGCCTCATTTAGATTTACCATTAGAATCAGTTATAAGTATATTTCACATAAACCAACACAAAACTTTTTTTACATACTAACCTCAAGCTTTATGAAATAGAAATATGTGTGAAGATGCGTCTCGACAGACCGATGAAGCTGGACTCTCCGTTGAAATTGCTTTGAGCCATGAGTGAAAGACCTCGCATTTCTTTTCCCATTTCTTTCTTATATCCTAATGAGTATTCTTTTCCTATGTCATATGGTTTTGGGAAACACTGGTGCAATGCACACAAAGACTGCTCTTTTGTTGGGTAAGTATTTCAATGCCTGGTTATCCTAGGCATAGTTGTTCTATTGTTGAAGTACTCCTCACTTGCCCCACTCAACCGCTCAATTTTTTTTATTTTTATGCTCACCTGTGTTTTTGGCCTTTTATACTTGGTTATGCTGAACCATGTCTCCTATGAAATAAATAACTCATTTTGTATTATTTATGTTAGTAGTGTCCTAATGGGAAAAAAAGGTTTGTCAAATTAACTCAAAAGTAAAAACATAGCAGCAGCTTACATTACATGGCACTTTGCTATTTTTTTTATTAGTCTTTAATTACAATAGAAAAGTATATAGATTATGATTTTATAATTATTTCAAATTTGAACTATATAGTGTTGAGTTAATTAATTATTTTGTGATGAAAATAGTATAATATTATAACTTTTGTAAGCCTGATAACTTAGCACCGTGTTATTGAGTTGTTCCAAAAAATTAGGTATATATTGTATTAATTTTAAGGAAAACTTTAGTGGTAAAAATATTACTACCTCCAGTTCTAATTATAAGACTTTATTTGTAGTCTTTAAATGAAGTTTTATAATTAAGACCAAATGTAGTATAAACTAACTATTAATCTAAAAACTAATCCCTAACGAAAACAAATACCTACCATCCTTCTTCAGCACTCCAAAATTGGATCCAACAAGCCGGTGAGGTTTTCTTTTCTTTTGGTTTAGTACTTCTCTTTTAAATCATCCCATATATATAAAGCTACTTAACTAGAAATGTTCACATTTAATGTCCAACAGTTTCTTGAATACGATTATCTCTAATAAGAAGATATTTATGTGTATATATTAAAAAAAAAAACAAAGAAATTTTAACTGGTGCAGGTCTTCTTGTATAATCTTAGATATGATTTTCATTTCTTTTTTCAAAAAAAAAAAACAAAGAAATTGGTCTGTTGGAATTTTTATATCGTAATAGTATGAAGCAAACAACAATGCTTGTTGTCTTGAATTTTTTTTTTTTTAAGTAACTCTTGTACATTGAATCTTCATTAATGTAAATTTAAGTCTGGTCAGGCCTCAAAGAAGAGTGACTTTTCTAAAAATATTTTCTACATTTCACATGAGCTCAAACTCAAAACCTTATATTTAAATTGACATAATCGCTCCCCTTCTACTAAGAACAATACTAAGTGGTAATGAAAGCCATCAAACCACCCGCAATTAATTAATGATCCAAAACCTGTTCTCTTTGTTTCTAAACAATAATTTTTTGGGGTCTTGCGTTGGTTTCCAATTAATCGTCACTTTAGGATTTCACTTTGTACTTGTTTTTGTTTTCCCCGGTAAGCCACTTTATATTTGTTTATTAATTTTCTTAATCTACGTGTTTAATTTTAAAGTAACTATTGTTTGAAATCAGATGAACTATCACATGTGGTGTCCGCAAAGATGGGTTTGAAGTCAAAATTCAAGTATTTTATTAATTTTAATTTAAAACATCACTTTTTGCCAAAAACATCTTCAATGTATATTTTATTCGAGGTAAAATAAAAAAATTTAAAGGACAAAACATATGTTTAATTATGAGGGGGGTGTGTAGAAGATCAGATCCAGCACTGGATCTTAATTGAACAAGGTTTACGAACACCGCATAAAAACTAAAATGACCCTCATTTAACCATTTTCTGTT